TGCGGGGGGGGGGACCCCCCCGGTGGGCCCAGCGCTGGCGGAGACCCGGCAGCGCCCTTCCTTCCCACCGCTCCTGCCGAAAGGCTCTCCCGACCCCCCTCTGCTCCGGCGGGCCGCAGCCTTGGCCCCAGCTCCAGCCTGCAGCCATTCACAGTTGTTTCTTCTTTTTCCTCCCCCACGGCCGTAACTGTGCGCCTCCCCGCAGGAGAGTGGCGGCGACTGGATTCGCTCCCAAGCTTTGCTCTGTCAGGAGCCACGGGCTCCCCTCTTGCAAGGAAGGCTCTGTCCACGTCCCTGGCTTCGGTGCCTCGCTTCCAACTGGAATGAACGTTTCCTCACCCTGAGCGCCCAGAACTGCACTCGGTATCTTCAGCGAAGTCTCACCAAGGCCTTTCACAGCCGCACTATTTCCTTATTCCCAGTGGAAGTCCTTTGCCTGACGCATCCTAGGATCCCATTTGCCTTTTTCAAACCCAATCCCAGTCCGTAGGCCTTCTCAGGCTCCTTTCCGCCATCCCTTACAGCTGATAACGCACCAATTTGGAGCAGAAATTTTCACCATCTGTCTACCGCCATTCTGGAAGGCTTCTCATTCTTCCATGGCTCTGCAGCCCTCCCTCCTGTTCGCATTCCCTGTCAGCACATTTCATTCCCACATGTCCATTTTTACATTCCCATCATTAAGGCAGCTGTTCAACAGGAGTCACCCAAGGTCCGATCCCTCAGGAGCACCGCTGGGAAGCTCCCAACACCTTCTGTTCAACTACAACCAGTGGTCCCTGACCCAGTGCCCTCAACGCTCTGCATTTGTCCCCCCCGTCATCATACCGACCCGTTCTGCGCTTCCTGCAGCCGAAACTACTCTCCTACATCACCACGTAATCTTGCAGAGATTGCTCCTCCTTTTAACGCCGCAGTTATGTTGCACACTGGACAGCTCAACAAAACTCTCACTTTTGGAAATGGGCTTCTACAATTAACAGCAAATACAGAACTGAAATTAAAAATGAACAAGAGTGTACATTACTAGCAAAATATGCAAATATGGTATATAAAAATGCTTAATGTTCTGCTTTTTTGTGATCTCACAGATCTCTCTAAAAATAAACACGAAACCAGAAACTACTCTGCTGGGAGTTGAGGGTGAGGAAAAGAAACGTACCTACTCCTTTCACACAGAAAAGCGAGCTACTTCTGAGAACACAGTAAGTGGCAGTTCAGTTTCTTCATATTAGACAGTTAAAAAATAAGTTAGCAACATTCCTTTAATGACGGTCCTTGAATCCATGAGAAACCCACATGCTGCTTAGTATGGCGAACCTTGCAGAGAAAGAACCGTCATCCCAACTCTCACAAACTAGGAGAAAAAAAAAACCTCAGAAGATTTTCATTATTTTTATTATCATTTTTCTGAATTTAAAATTCTTAGACGTTTCTTACTGCAATGCAGTAGCTGGGCAGGGTAAAGGCTTTCTTCCACCAAGACGCATGGAATCACATATCCCTTCCACCTCCCTTACAGAAGACAAGCACACAACCCTCCCCTTCTTCATCAGTTCTCTTAAGGAAAACTGAAGTAATATAGAAGCACATATGGCACCAATATCTCCACAGCCAAGCATGCTTGTATGGGGCACAGATGATAAATGGCCATTTTTTTAAAAATCCAAATCATGGTTTATTACAGCTCATGCGTTAAAACATGAGAGGATGTATGGAGAGCAGAGATGGATGAGTCGTTCTGGCCAAGTGGGCTGTGCAGCCTAACAGTGACACTTCTGTAAAACCAGCACCAGAGGGTGGTGATAATCTAGACAGCAACACCGTAACTTAAGAGACCACAGGCGCACAAAACCTCTAATTTAACACATCAGTCTTACAAGCATAGATGCCCAGACGAGTCCAGCTAGTCCTGATCATATGCAACAACCACACGCCTATTTTGACTTCAACCTGATACAATGGCAGCATTTCCTCTTGCAGCTGCCTAATGCCAGCGAACAACGGTCTTCCTCATAGGACTCATGGGGGAAATGATCCAAGCATCTCCAGAGGTGGGCTCCACGTTCTCCTCATCCTCCTCCTCCTCCTCAAAAGCATCAATAAGAATGATGCTTTCATCATCCTCACTTATCCCTTCTTGAGGTTCCTCAGACTGGTCAGAGGAAAAGCATTCTAAACACTCATCTTCCCACTGCAGGCCAAAGTTGGTGGGTTGGTTGAATTGTGCTTCTGGTAGTAAGTTTCAAAGGTCTCCTCTTCTTTGCACTGCAGTTCTATGTGGATTGAAGGTCTAGCAGGATGCACCCAGGACTAGAAGGTGATGAGTAATCTTCCTGCACCTCCAGCTGCAGGCTGGCTTTGCAGCCCACCCTTTCTGAGGTTTGTCTGGAATCACCTGAGTGTTCCTCACCTGCATGACAACTGTCATTAACAGAAACCAAGTCCGCCTCCATCCTATGGTATCATATAGTGCTTACTTGTTAGTAATTGTGGAGACAGGCAGTACAAATTCCTGTGACCTTTCACGGTTGGTTTCTTTCATGTCAGCCTCCTTGGAAAAGAAATAAGAATTTCATTATCTGCCAGGCAAAGCTAGCATTTGAGATGTCAGTTTAATTGAAAATACTTCAGCAGTAATACATAATGCAGAACACTCCAAATGGCGTCTCATGGGTTAGATCGAGAACCCAGGGCAACTCTATTCAGAACACCGCGTCTTCTGTTGTTGGTCCGAGATGAGCCAGAAA